CCAGAAACTTTCTGTTGCTAGCTTTGAGTACAACAAGCACACACACTATGGATTTAAGTGGTAGAAATGGGTAGGCTGGTGTTTATGTTTTTGCAATGGCATTTCCACACAACACATATCCACACTGACACCTCTTAATAGTGCGGTCTTTCCTGCGACTCGAAACAACCAAAACTAAAACCTTCGAATCGCCAGTCTACCACATCTTTAACCTTTTTGAATTGGGGGGTCGCACATCTCCATCGAGAAACACTTGGAACCAATATCATGAGATAAAGTTTAGCAACCAATATTAGTTCCACTAACCACATTGTCATCGCACCAAAATATAGTTTAAGTGCCAAATGCACTTTCACTTTTTTTAACCATGTGCAAAATTGGCACATAAGCGAAAATGACAACTAAGCACGACACATGCAAAATTGATAAAATAAAGCTGACAACTAAACATGACACATAGGAAAAATTGATGAGGTGGCGCCGAGTCTTACAATGCACCACAATTTACAAGAACATGACCAATTTAAATTGCTGGTAACAGAGAAAAATAAGGTAGTAGACCAGTGATGTCTGCTTTACGACCATTTTGCAAAAGGAAATTATGACATTTCTTACTAAAATGGTCATTATGCTTTATGGTTTGGACCCTCCCAAACGCCTTACGACCATTTGGTTCGAAATGGTCATAGATTTATGACCAATTCGCCCATAGTCTCTATGAGAAAGTCAGAAGTTGACATATTTCTTGTAGTGGCATGTGGGTCGATTTCTATCACACTAACCACTCCAATAGCACAATATTAAGAGCAAGTCTAAATACACCAATAATACAATCAACCAAATTAGTAACAAGAATAAGAGTAATGATGATCCATACAAAGCGGCCTTGATAACACAAACACTATGAGAATGACTCCAAAAGCAACGCCTCCATGAAGGGAACGAGATGGCAGTGCTCTGGAGCAAATGTCATTCCTCAAAATTAGGGTTAATTAGATAAATGCCACTCCAATTTTGCCAATTTAAAAAAATGCCACTTCAATTTAAAAAACTTCAGAAAATGCCACTTCAATGCACTAAGTAAAACACTTGGGAGTGGCATTTTTCGGAGTTTGTAAATAGTAGTGGCATTTTTTTGAATCACCAAAATTGGAGTGGCATTTATCTAATTAACCCTTAAAATTAAATTCCATAAAAGAAAATTATTTTAAGTTGTACGCTAACTTTTGTTGTTGTGCACAAGGTCAATTCCTGATTAAGCATTTGGGAATCCCAATTGATTACCGATGTCTCACTAACGTAGAGTGGAAACATTTAGAAGATCGTTTAGAGAAATGATTGAGCAGTTGGAAAAGCAATGTAGGTGTTGTTTTTTTGAACAATTTGATATATTATTTGCATTTTTCTGAGTTAATATGAATTTACTATGACATTTTCAAAGTGACAGTCAAATGGTGAAAGGATAAAAGCATTAGAGAAGCAAGCACACTTGGGCAGAACTGATGTTTTTTTTTAAACTAGGGGCAAATCAAACAAGTGGGATCCAACAAGGGGCATAAAATTAATCATCCCTATTTTCTAGTGCAACATATTATTACTAATATGAAGATGGAGTCATATTCTTCTTTTTATACTTTTCCATATCCAAGTTCTAAATCCTAGGGAGAGATCTAGACAAAATATAACAATTGTAGATGTTATGGATCCAATAACTGGTGGGTTTACAAATTTCCTAACCCTAAAACGAGGGTTACAATATGAAAGAATACAATGACGAAAAAAGGATAGCTTGAGAAAAGGTACCTTGAATATATCAAAGAATCAAATGTCTTGATCCAAAGTGGACCAACAGGGTGGGGGCTATAAAAGGCTGACTTTCTTAGTAAGAGCCATCTAGGCAAGAGAACGTCAGATAAACCAAAATGCCCCCCTTTTTGGCTGAGTACGATTCAACAATGGGCCCGAGTCAGCGATTCAAAAATTCAATAATAGAGTTGTCAATCTCAGATGCAGGAGCTGTCACTTGCAACCATTCTTGCTATGTCAAGATTAAGACTTGAGTTGTATCAAGTTGGTAACAACTTGTATCTCGATAGGACTGAATGTAGCCAGGAGTTGTCTTAGGCTAGTCTATGTGTCGAAACGTTAGTCAAACCGCCTAGGTTGTGTTTATTCTGGAGAGTTCAGCCAGTCCAAGTGATCTAGATTATCCTACGTTTTATCCATGTTTTGACCTTCATTCGATTATAGGGGTTTTATAGAAGCCCAGCAGCATCCGTGTGACAGAGAGGCATATTAAGGAAGGACAGAGGAAATTTATAGGTTGCTTTAGTGTTTTGATAGAACTCAAGCGGTTGATATTGCTAAGGAAATCCATAAGAGTGAAGGATTGCATTTCCATGCTGGTGTATTGGCTTATAGTTCAAGCCAATTGCATTGGGGAATGAAAACATTAAAATATAGGTGACATGGGGCCAGCTAATTCTTGTGAGGTACGTCAACCTTGAAGTAGGTTCCTATACATCAACAAGGATTCTGTAATCACTAGATGGAGGAGTTCGATAAGTTTTCTTAAACTTGTATGTATCTCTAACATCGCCATCAACTGATACTTAGGATGGGGAATCAGGAGAACATGGGGGGAGGAAGTAGATTTTTTCCAAAACCTTTTATCTTTTAACTCATGTGTCCGAATCACGAATCATTTTTGCCCTTGCATTTCTCGCGTTGCTTCAGAACTTGATCCAATGTTAATATGTTTGGATGAAGTTTTTTTTCGAAAAAATAGAAAAAAATCAAAGACAAAAAACCCAAAAGTAATGGAAACCAAAAAAATCAAGAAAAAAGGAAGCACAACTGTGCTTCACACAAAATCACAATTTGTGTCTTTTCACTTTTCGGAAAAGCACATCTGTGATTCACGGGGAAGCAAGATTGTGCTTTTCACTTTCAAGAAGCACATATCTGCTGCGCAAGCACAAATGTGCTTCAGCGTGATGCACAACTATGATTTTTTTACTTTTCAAGAAGCACAACTGTGCTTTTCACTTTGCAATAAGTACAACTGTGCTTCACCGTGTTTCACACAATTGTGCTTCACGTGAGGAAATAAAAAAAACTATTTTTTTATAAAAACATAGGAAAAAGCAAGCAAAATATGTAAACCCGAAAAAAAAACCAAAAACCGATGCAGGAAAAGAGTCTTGCCAGACTTCACCGTCCATTTTACTCTTACCCATGCACTTACTTCATACCCACAATGTGCATGGGATCGCTGTAGTCTTTGTTAAAAGTATTTTACCCTAATATTGAAATGACGGGAGCAAATTGTTCATTCCTATATACTTAATCATATACTAGAAAACTCTATGAAAATATTTGGTATCACATGGACTTAAGATCTCCACCAAGATATGTAAGGATACATACACTTTTTTTTGCGGGGTAAGGATACATACACTTACAAATACACCACATTTCAAGTGCCACAAATTAATGTGAGATGTCATGCATTTTATCCATTTAAGAGGAATTGGTTTACATATATTTTTAAGGTGCAATGTATTTTAAAAACACTGACATAACTCTTATAAAAAATATAGTTCAAATTTATGAAAAAAAATTAATTTTGATTTTGACAGAAGATAAATTATTAAGAAATATAAATGTTTAGTATAAATAATTGTATTATTCACAAAGTGGTTTTACTGTAAATAATTTTATTAATTACAAATTATGAAAATCCTTAATAGGAGCTTTGGATACTTCAAGGAAGGCACTAACACCTAGATTTGGTAGGTATTATGCTAGGTACAACGAGTAGGGTTTTGGCAATATTAGATCGAGTATGTGAAACTTATTAATGCTGAAATACATTATCAAATTTTGGAGTAATTTTAATGGTTGAAATATTCATGTAATCGAGTATTTTTGTTTTGATGAATCTACCATTTTCATTGTTAATATTGTTATCCCGTTTTGATGGTTGACAAATATATTTCATTTCCTGCTACTTGTTATCTCTCATTTCATCTTAGTGTGTTGCACATTTTAATGTTTTCCATGTAGGAATCACATAAGTATTTCTCTGAGACGAGTTTCTTGAAAATCATTGGTTTTTCATCTATTTCAATTACCGCCATATACATCACTGCATCAATACCGGCGTCCTTACGGAAGATGAACATGACCTATGATGAAGGAGAGTTGTGGATAATGAACATGGTCAAGAGCTTGAAGCTAGGTGCCAAGATTGATTCGGTGACGGGAACCCTCATCATGATGACCAATCGTGTTGATGTCCACGAGCAAATCATTCAGATCATTAGAAATAACTATTGGAATGCATTGCAGTTAGAAGGCACATTGACCAACTCGAACTGCCAATGAATAATGGTGCACGCAATTTTTGATTAGTGTTGGAAGCATCCATAACATGCATGGATCCTGTATTTTCGCAAAAAAATTTTTGCATGGATTATGTTCTATGATGGACCCGAGTTTGTGTTGAAACCGGGTCGAATTTTGCTAAAAGCTGTATGCATGTCCTGACTCTTGAGGGCTGTGTGTGTGTGTGTGTGCGCGCGCGCGCGCGCGTGTGTGTGTGTTAAATCCTATTCGCAGTAATTATCTGGGACTATGTATATCCTGCTGCCCAATTCACAACATGCATGGATCCTGTTATTTGATGGAGCCTAGTTTGCATTGAAATGGGGTCGAATTTGGCTCGAAGCTATAGTACTAGATTAAGAGGCTACAGATTAAATGCCACCAAAACGATACAAAACCAATGTCATCTGAATATAATTACTTAAATCAAACCCCATTGCCATGAAAACCTTGCACATTCAGCGCCATGAAAACTTTGCCAAATGGACTACTGCAAGGACGAACCACCAGCAGTGCATCAGGAACCATGATGACTGTCAATCCAGACCCATTCACACAAGAAGCACAACAGAAAACCAACACCCGAATCAAGTGTAGGAAGCACAATGGCCTTACTCACGCTCGATCTGAATGGTGACATGGCCGATGTTGTACTCTTCCTTGATGTACCCAATGACCTTGTCAAGCATTTGATCAGCGTCCGCATCCTGCTCGATGGTCACATGGCACGCCAGGAGCACCTTCCCCACCGTGATAGCCCAGATGTGCAGCTCATGGACAGCAACCACGCCTTCCATCTGAAGGAGGCCGCCCTCGAGCCTGGTGGCGTCGACCTCGCGGGGCGTGCTCTCCATCAGAACCTCGAGCAAGTTCCGAACCATCCTGACTGTGGTGAACAGCACGATCACGGAGAAGATGAGGGTGCATATGAGGTCGATGATCTTCCACTCGGGCTTGTACCAGATGAGAGCCCCTCCGACCATCACGCCGATGCTCTGGATGGAGTCACCGATCACATGCAGATAAGCACTGTGTACATTGATGTTACGGCGGCGAGGCTCCTTAGCCGTCTTGAGCAACGGTTCCTCGGCATCATCCTGATGTTGTCCGGTGGTTGAATGAGAGTGATGATGAGTTGTGACGGTGATGGAACTGCCATGGCTGTGCTCATGGTGATGTGCGTGGCCCTGCTCATGATCATGCCCATGGTTGTCCTCCGAGTCACCATGATCATGGCCATGATCATGTGAATGTCCATGGCCACCGTGCCCATGGTCATGGCCAAGCAGCACTGCCATCACAATGTTAACGAACAGACCAAAAGCTGATACCGCGAACATGAGGGATCCCTGCACCTCGCCCCCGCTTCCATTGACGAGCCTCATGATAGCTTCATAGACGAGTATGCCGGCGAGGAGCCATATGAGCTGAATAGAGACCAGTGCGCCAAGAATCTCTATACGGAAAAACCCGTACGACTGCCGAGGCGTCGCTTCCCAACCAGCTGCCCACAGGGAGAACAGAGATATGGCGAAGGCGGCGACGTCCGAGAGGAGATGGGCTGCATCGGTCAAGATCGCAAGGCTGTTCGCCTTGATGCCTCCAACCACTTCGACCGCCATGAATATAACGCAGAGGATCACGGCGGTCAGGAGCTTCCTCATGGACGCGGACCTCTCCTTTGCGTCTTTGGAGGTGTTGGTGGAGTCGGCGAAGTCGCAAGAAGCACCTCTGCACATTTTGCTCCCGGATGCCGATGAGATGTCCATTGTTACTTCGTGGGGCGATGATGAATTAGTATGGCTGTCCATCTAAAAACTGCATTTGAGTCAATACACACGTACAATGGTGGTGCATGATTTACTGATATGCAATGCTATAAGAACAACATTTCTCATGTGCATTTCCTACTAGAACTAGTGAAAAAATATATGTGAAGGGGTAGGGGTCTGCCGCAATTGGTCGCGGGAACAAACTGAAGCAGCACATTCATTCAATAAAATTGCATCAACATTCATCTAACTCTGTTGCCCGTATACGACAAAAACTACCACAGGTAGAAGTGAAAGGTAAAACTTGCAAAGGTATTGGTTTGCAAGAACAACAGATATTAAAACCACAATCCAAAAAGGGATATTTGCACATGACAGAGGTATTAGTTTTACAGAACTTAAGCGCAACTGGATTATATTTTGTTAGGCAGTTCCAAAAAAAGGCACATCTAGACCACATCATTACTGATACTACTATAATGGATGACCTCAGGCCTCAGCTATGAAAAGGTCAGCTATGGCAAAGTCAACATTCAGCTATGTATTGATACTTTCAAAAAGATTAATGCCTACAAACTTATGATAGCGTTTTTAGATAAGACCACGAACTTTCCTCCTTTATGTGAACAACATGGGGCAGAGTAACTCCAGCAAATGGCCACAGCTAGCAAATTTCAAAAAAGAATGAACAGAAAATGCATTTAACTCAAGTCTATAATATGCTGAAATAGAGACGCCTAATCAAAACAAAACATTGATGGTCTGGTCGCAGAACCAAATCACCGGACAGTTCTTTGCCAATTTGAACACTTGCAGGAAGAAAGCACTACAAAATCATACTGGCTGATTGCCTGATTGGGGCTGTAATCCATGGACGGAAAACTCAAAATTCGCAACGAAGTCACAGAAGGAGAAGCAGCTAGCGGTGGGACGAGGGATTCAAAGCATCACGAGTATCTGTCCAAACCTAAGCTCTGTCGCACCTGGGGCTGGAGAGGAGGGGATCGAGCCCGCTCGCGCACGCCGCCGGAGATTGAGGCGGAGACGGACAAGGGGAAGGCGAGGGGAGCGAGGACGGTTACAACAAGTAAACGACTACTCCTACTAAACTAAGATGTCGGCATCTACACGACTTGGAACATTGCTCTGTTCGCTCGACGTTTGGAACCGGAGGAGGAGGATCAATGGTTTACCTGATGTGCCTGCTCTTGGACGCCAACGGCCGGCCGGTGAGCTCCGCGAGCGAGGAGGGCGGTGGGGGTGAATGATCTTTGACGAACATGCGCGGATCGTAGGCGGGTGGGCTGGTCGCGTGGTCAGCGTTTTATAAGGCGGCCTGCTGACAAGGAAGGGGCCTAAGAGTATCTCCAACAACCGCGGCAAAAGACACGCGCGGGTAAACTATTATTTTAACGCACGCGGTAAACTGACTTTTTAGCGCGAGCGAGCGGGACATTTTCGCGCGCTCAATTGTGACAGCAAACTAGCGCGTGGGGAAAACGATTGCGCGCGCGGGGAAAAGGCGGCAGCTCGCACGCTAAATTTGGCGGACCGTGTCCGGCGCGCCTATAAAATTGCAGCGCCCTCTGCCGCTCTCTCGCTCCCTCTACTGCTTTCTCTCCTCGCCGCCGATATGACACCACCGCGCCACCATGCCGCCTCGCCGCCGGGGAGGTTCGGGCTACCGCGGCGTCCGCGTGCGTCCGTCCGGCACCTACTCACTAGTAGAAAAACACCTAATAGTCCCGGTTCGTAAGGGCCTTTAGTCCCGGTTCATGAACCGGGACTAATGGGTCGTTACTAATACCTCCATCCATTAGTCCCGGTTCAAACACGAACCGGGACCAATGTGCCTCCACGTGGCCCTGTGCGCCGAGCCAAGTCAGGGGGCCTTTGGTCCCGGTTGGTGGCTCCAACCGGGACCAAAAGGCATCCACGCGTCAGCATTCCAGTGGCTGGGATTTTTGTTTTTTTAAAGGAGGGGAGGTTGGGGGTTTTGGGGGGTTAATTTAGGTGTTTCATATATTGTGTTAGCTAGCTAATTAATAGAGAGAAATGTCCTCTCTTATGTCCGTGCTTGGTCGATGCTACGTACTATATATACATAAGTGATCGAGAGAACCATTCAGTACAGAAGTTCGTCATGCATATCGAGAGAAGTGATCGATCGACCTCTCCTTCTCCGAGAGATTGGTCGATCCGACGCTACTGGCTACATACATGTACAATATGTATAAGATCTCTTAATTACAAACCCCTAGCATTTTAAATCAATTTCCACATGGTATTCTCCGGCTTTACTGATGACGTGGTCAAGAAAGAATCCCGCCAATTCCTCTTGAATTGCTTTCATGCGATCTGGTTCTAGGAGTTCATTCCGCATCTGCCACGTCTAATTTGAAAAAGGGAGTTAATTAATACATATATATGAATGAAACTCAACAGAAATGATGGTGTAATAAAATGAAATTGTGAATATTATTGCTTACGCACTTCATATTGTCTTTTAGAGTAGCCCCGCTTGTTTTTCAAAGTCGCGGTGTGGATGAACTCGCACACGTAGTATCCACAGAAATCATTCCCTTCCTCCTACGACAAGCACTTTACGAGAAATAGAGGTCAATCAAACTGATAATGAAGCATTATAAATGACATTGATGAAAGTATAGCTATAGAATCAACGGGAGATGCGCGCAACAAGCTAGCCCAGTAGTACTTACTTTCGGGTATGTCCGCAGCTCCTTCGGCAGTCCCGGAGCTTCTGCGGTGAACTGTTTCCAAACCCTGCAAGACAAAGAAAATAATAATTATTACTTGAGATATCAGGAAATGAACAAAAAGTTGCCGATATGATGCGATAATGATCGATTGAACTTACTTGCTGAGCATTTCAGTCATGTCCGCATAGCTTTCGGGATCTTTCCGTCTCGAGTCTAAGACGGTTACTAGTTCCCGCTCAAGCTTAATCTCCAGAAGAATATAGTGGTACCTGCGCACGCATGCATAACTCATCAATTACATTACTATAACCTCACTCGAGTAATAAGGGAAACCGAATATGCAGACGACAGTAACACTCACTTGCCGTTGTAAGAAAAGAGTATGGTATCTTTGTTTTGATTTTTGATCAACGATCGTAGCAAGTTGTCCTCGGCCTCTTTGACGTTCTTTTCAACCAGAAATACATCTATGATATTTGTGTTAATGAACCCAATATCATAAATTTCTTGTTTTTTGCACTCGACGATCTTCAATCTGCATAATATATTGAGGATAATTAATTATAAATATATGCAATGAAAGAGCCGAGCTATATATAGAGACTTAATGACAGAAATAGTACTTACAGACAGTAGCAAAAGACCATTAATTTATCGAGGGCCTTTTGATTGAAGAACGCGAAGAACTCATCAAATGGAACACACAACAGATCACTTGAAACGAGGTCGTGCTCATCTTTAATGTTCAGATACAAACTGTTCGTCCCCTCAGACTCTCTGCAGGTTTTCATGTACCAACTATGGAATCTTCGCATCATTGTTGTCAGAGATTTTTCATCTTTGACGAGAGGCTTCCCGTACTCGTATCTGTGTTCATCCACCGCCATGAAATCAGGAAGTGCATCGTCAGGCAGGTAATCTCCAAGATTGCCATAACCGGCCACCGTCCCCGGAGCATTAGACACATTGAGCGGGGGGCACGATTGCTGTGCTTGTTCGCCGAGCTGGGCAATTTTTATCCCCTTTGCTCGTTCTTTTAACCTTTTATCACTGACAGTAGTTCCCGACCGCTGGGCTTGGAGATATGTCTGTTCAGTAATGCGCTCATAGTTGGTTCTCGGCGGAGACTTTGGTGGTTTCCTCAGGGCATCAATAGTGCGCTTTGCTTTCACCGGATCTACATTCTCCTCCGGAGGTGGATGTCTCTTTGCTTTCACCCCTTCAAAGAAGTCCTTCACGTGGGTCCGCACAATCGTATCATTTTCCTCCTCGGACCTCTCGTACGGTAACTTCTCTAGAGGCTTGAGAGATGGACCGTATTTGTATTGCCTCCCGCCTTTGGTTGTGCTGCTAGACACCGGAGCAGACGGAGCGGCTGCGGCGTCTGTCTTCTTTTGTGCTAGCTTACGATGCGGAGGAGGAGTACGACGCGCCGGAGCAGCCGGGGCGGCGGCGGGTCTCTTCCGCCCTTGCTGGCGAGGCGGAGAAGGAGGAGGCTGCTGGCTGCTCGGGAGCGCCGGCGCATGCGGAGAAGGAGGCGGAGTGCTGCCATGCGCCGGAGAAGGAGGCGGAGTGCCGCCCGCCATGCGTGCCCTGATCGTCACTCGCTGGAGGAGGAGGCGGTGGAGGAGGCAGAGTGCCCTGACTCGCCGGAGGAGGAGGAGGCGGAGGCGTCCAGTTCAGAAGGTTGATGAGCTCCTTCCGCCATAGGCATGGAGTCTTCAGAGCACAACCCAGCCTAGTCTCCCCTTCACCGGTAGGGTGCTCAAGCAGGAGGTCCTCAAATCCCCCTGTTATTTCATCCACCATCACCTTAGCATATCCTTCTGGAATCAGCTGGCAGTGATAAGTTGTGCCGGGTCCACTAGGATAAACTTGGCCAACCGCCGCCTTGACCTTCAAACTCATCCATCGCGCCATAATGTGGCAATTTTGAGACTCCATGATACCATCCACGGGATAGCTGGTAGGAGCCGTCAAGACATGCTCCGGCTGAAGCAGCTCGGTGGAAGCCACGCTGCTTCTCCGCTGAGATGGCGGGGTAGCTTCGGGGGAAGCTTCGGCAGGTCATTTGCTGCGATCTGTTGCTTCTCGTTCCTCTTCTCGATCCTCTAGCCCCACTACCCTTTCGTGCAGCGCCTGCAGTTGGTCCTGCTCTAGCTTCTTCCTCCTCTCGTGGGTTTTGTAACCCCCTGCGTCTGGAAAACCAACCTTCCACGGAATGGAGCCTAGCGTGCCTCGTGTCCGTCTAGGGTGCTCAGGATTCCCAAGGGCCATTGTGAGCTCGTCCTTCTCCCTGTTTGGAAGGAACGTCCCTCG